AGCCTCATCTTTCTCCCGCAGAGCGGCTGGTAGTTTCGAACCACTGACCTTAAGGATGTAGTTGCTCAAAATTCTGACAGAGGACTCTTCACATCAAGGATCTAATCTGTCCCCTCAGTACACAGAGTTGATAGGGATGGGCAACTTAGACAGTGACTACCAAAAATGTGGGGCTATAATGGTATGAAGTGGCTGGCTTACAAGCTTTCAAGAGTGTGCTTAGTTTCAGAAAGAGGTGGGTAAGGTAGAATTCCCACTGAATAGTTTTCCTCTTTTCCAGATGAGTCTGGTGAAAGGTGGTGGGGGAGAATGGGGATAGGAATCTCTTGATTCAATAGTAATTGTTACCATGAGTAATTGTGATTATCATAATTGTAAAGGTAGATGATGTATAACAAAAAGTGGGGAGCAGCTAATCTTACATTCCAAGAACAGAGGACCCTAGGACCATCAAGAGGGAAGAGCGTGAGAGGAGCATGGGATCCTAACCAGAAACGCAGTGACAGCAGAGATGGAAGCAGAGGCGATGGCAGAGTTACAGCAGCTGAGGACTTTAGACCCATGGAATAAGGAAGACTGTGTGCCTCCTGCCTCTTGCAAAATGTGCTCTTTAGTTGTTTAAACAAATAATATTTTCTCTGTGTTTTGTGTACATCAAAAAAGAGAAGAGAGGGAATACAGGTAAATACTGTTAGCCGATGGTGCAATCATTGCAGTGAAACAAAATATAACTGAGTGTAAAACTTATGCTCTGCCCTGTAAATTATCACTCAATTCACAATAAAAACTAAGAAAAAAAATTATCTATATCTATATATCCATTGCTGAGGAATATAATGCAGTAGCACCTAATGAAAAGGAAAAAAAAAAAATAAATAAGGAGAAAAAAATAAGGTAAGGTTATGCTTTCCTTAAACAACTTTAATCTATTTTAGTACTTTGAAATCATGTTGGGATTATACTACACAGTGGTGGTGGTGGTAGTGTGACATTGAGTCATTACGACTCATAGTGACCCTGCACAGGGGTTTCTGAGGCTGTAAATCTTTACAGGAGCAGAAAGCCTCATCTTTCTCCCGCAGAACGGCTGGTAGTTTTGAACTGCTGACCTTGAGGTTAGCAGCCTAATTTATAACCACACTGTACCTGTTAAAAATAAAAAAAGACTGAGCAGTAGATTCCCTCTTTCATAATTTTTACTTATGCTGAGTAATCTTTACCGAAATTAATAGGAAAAGGAGAAATGAAAAATGTAGTCTACTCTTATAAATTTTCTGATATAACTTTAGAACTGTTTAGCATTTAAAAAATTCAATTGGTACTTAAAGATATACTTTGGGCCTTTTTAATACCCTACTCTCACCCACCTCCCCCCAAAAGAAAATCCAGGAAAAATAATTTCCTAGGAAAAATTAGACAGTTTTGTAGAGACAGATTTCAGTGTATTAATAATATAATCAAACACATCTTAAGCTAAAAGTTAGAAAAATACTTATTTAGGAAAATTAAGAAATAAATAATTCATTAAGTGACTCATGAACCTTTATATATAAAAGACTAGTTTACAACTTTTAAAACTTTTCATGGGAAGTCTTTTTAAATAAGTTATATCCATGTTAATGTGCAGTTCAAACCCAACAGCTACTCTTGGAAACCCTATATAAGGTTGCTATGAGTTGGAACTGACTCAGCAGCACACAATGACAATATAAAACGAGTGAGTAAATATCCTTAACGAGTAAAAGCATTAACAATGTAAATAAATTCAACTTATGTACACACAGAGATGTATCGTCTTCTGGGCTGGAGTGGTGATAGGATGTAGAGGGCAAAGAACTTGATTTATTTTCCTGTTCATTCTGGGTCACAGGTCTATCATCTACATGAAAAAGTATAAATGTGAGAAATAAGTACAACAAATAAAAAATCATTCACTGTAATAATATTGAAATAATATCATCACTAGATAGAGAGTCTGCTATTATGATTCCATAAAATCAGTAAGCATATTATGATTTCAAGATTGAGTCAAGAGACTGCATGTTATTACTGTATTTTCAAAAATATTAAGAAAATAAGATAGGATACAATTAAGATTTATAATGGGAATGACATGTACTGGAGAACCTTACAGTTTGGCCTAAAGTTAATCTGACTTTTATTCAAACATCAAGCTAAACATCTACCTCTATTTTTTATAAATATAACTATTATGAATCACTTCAATGTCAGAAAATTTGGCTTTTGTGTCTTTCTATTTGTTTTTTCAAGGAGCTCTGGTAGTGTAGTGGTTACAAATTGGGCTGCTAACTTCAGGGTCAGCAGTTCTAAACTACCAGCTGTTCCGTGGGAGAAAGATGAGGCTTTCTGGTCCCGTAAAGATTTATAGCCTTGGAAACCCTGTACTGGGTTGCTATGAATCGGAACTGACTCCACGGCATACAACCACCACTACCACCATTTGTTTTCATATTTCTCTTAGTCTCACCTGTATCTTTAATTTTGTTTCTTCTTTCTCTACTTTTTATACACAACTTCATTTATTTTTTCTGTCTAACATATAGAAATAAAATTGTGGCATTTACTGAAAAGTACATATGTGAATCCTTTGTTGACTGAAAAAAATTTAATGTGTTGAATTTTTGTCTGTACACTGATGGTCCTTAAATAATTCTCATTATGCAGTAGATTCTTATCTTGCATTGATTCTTGAGTGTAGATAAGGCCAAAATTTTTTTAAAAATTTAAATAAAGAAATATTTTCAGTTTAATCCAAGGTTTCTCTATAGCTAACTGAAAACTACCTCAAATTATCAAGGTAATGAAAGAAGATTTAGAATCTGGAAGTTGAAGAAACTGATTAAAAATTCAGTTTTACAAAATAAGAATATCTGATTTTTTCACATAAATCATATAAATACACATTAACAAATATGAGTAAAACACACATATGTAAGCATAATTAGAAATATGGCTATTTGAAAAACATGAGATTTAAAATTCATCATACATAAAAGGGAGATGTAGTTCTGCTAAATAAAAGTGTACCCAATCCAATAAAAGAGGTACCAAATCCTTGTAAGACAACACAGCAAATATCTAAAGTTATATCTAAGCTAAGAAAATAATGGTGACTAGTGGTTTGATCATAACCTACAGAAGGGATGGACAATCTTTTTTCTGCCAAGAGCCATTCGGATATTTATAAATCATTTGTGGGCCAGACAAAATTATCAACTTAAAAATTAGCCTGCTATATTTGGTCAATGGAGCTCTGGTAGCGTAGTGGTTACGAATCGGGCTGCGAACCTTAAGGTCAGCGGTTCGAAACTACCAGCCGCTCCGCGGGAGAAAGATGAGGCTTTCTACTCCCGTAAAGATTTACACCCTCGGAAACCCTGTACAGGGTCGCTATGGGTCGGACCCGACTCGATGGCACTTAACAACAACAACAACATATTTGGTCAAACATTTAATTAACTCACCCACAAAGGTCAGTGGTTCAAATTCACCAGCAACTCCTTGGAAACCCTATACAGGGTCGCTATGAGTGGGAACCAACTCAATGGCACTTAACAACAACAACATGATGGATTGTAATGCAGTTGCCTTGGCAGGGCCTTACCAAATGATGTTTCAGACCTTATACAGCCCAAGGGCTGGACATTTCCCACCCCTGGCCTAGAGAATCTAGGCTAGATCTTCAATGGTTTGTTTTGACCTTCACACCAAGTTCTTTTGTTTCTTCCAGTCTCAATATACTTCTAAAAAAATAAATGCTCAGATGAACCTTACTACAAATAGGCTTTTATTATGCCAATTATATAGCTTTTCACTTTACTTTAAACTTTTTTCCTCTAAAAAACATGTATTTCATATTTTCAAACTATATTTCATTTAAATAAATTACATAAAAATACAAAATTATAATATTCAGCAGTTATACTAATGAAATTGTTACTTTAAAAGGCCAAAGCCAAAATAAAATGTAACTTTCTTTTAGTGGAAAACAGGTTTTTTCAAAAAAGAAAATACGTTGTTTAAAATTAGTTCATTATTATCCCCCGTTGCATTCAAAAGCCTCTCTCAGACAAAACTAATATAATCCCTTAAGGGTGTGTTGATTCCAACCAGTATTGAAGGGTGAAGGTTAACTGCTTTCTTCAAAATACCTAATATTCACAATTATACATAATTAGTAAAATTAAGACTCTGATAGCGTAGCGTAGTAGTTACGAATCGGGCTGCTAATCTCAGGGTCAGCAATTCGAAACTACTAGCTGTTCCACGGGAGAAAGATGAGGCTTTCTGCTCCCGTAAAGATTTACAACCTCGGAAACCCAGTACAGGATCACTATGAGTTGGAACCGACTCCATGGCACATAACAAAAGTGAAATTGAGAAGAGTTCTTTAAACTGAAGAGGCTAGGTTATATTATCAGAGATTTAAGTTTAGAAAGCTCCAGATTATGATTGTAAACCGAAAATTTTCATTTGCTGGCAACAGTGACGCTACAGGATAAGCACTGAACTGCGAACCACAAGGTTGGTGGTTCAAACCCACCTGCTGTTCCTTGAAAACCCTCACTATGAGTCATAACTGATTCAACAGCACTTAACAACAACTACATCTAATAGTGATAATTAAAATTTAGTAAATGTATTTTAGCATACTAATGACACACTAACATTTATGAAATGATTCTGATAAAATAACATCTCAAGTTTTCTTTTTCTAGTCTTGCTATATTATCTTTGATAAATTCTAAATTGTATTTGTTTAAAGTATGGAAGATTGATGATCTAGCATGCTAGAAAATGACAAGTAGTTTATTTACCAATTACATATATAGACATATATATATAGAGAGAGTAATGATGTGACGCTGTGGGTTAATGCTCTGGACTGAAAAATCAGTTTGAACCACAAGGTCAGTAGTTCAAGCCCACCAGCTGCTCTTTGGAAACCCTATACAGAGTTGACAAGGGTTGGAACCGACTCAACAGCACTTAACAATATATATACATATATGTGTATAGCTATAGGATCAGCACTGGACTCCAAACCACAAGATTGCTATGAGTCTGAACAGACTCAACGGCACTTAAAATGCCGACTTGAAGTTCAAACCAACCTTTCAGTGTTTTATCCCACAGCAGCACACCAGGACCCTCTTTCTCTCTCTCTAGTCTTGTTCTTCACCACAGGGATTTAGTCATTTCAAGTCTTAGAATTCTATTCACCCTTCTTCTATGAAAAGAACGTTTTCTTAGAGAAGACAGACATTTGGTCATTCTATCCCTAGGAGAACTGGAAGAGCATGTACTTCCTCGCTCTGGTTAGGTAAGGCTTTCATTTAATAAAAGATCTGTACTCGTATAACTTAGCAGTATGGACCTTACATTTTATTTGAAATTTTCTTACATATGAGGGCTGGCCTGCTTCATGCAAAGAAAATACTGGAGACTGGGATTAGAGATTTAGAAATCTACATACCCTTTATCAATGTTGAGTTGTTTATAGTTGCTTGATTCACCAAAATCATTGCTTGGATGTATTCTGTTAAGGAAGGAAAGAATGATAACCATCTTTATTCATGGTGCCAGTCACCATGCAGAACACTTTATATACTTTATGTCATCTAATCTTCACAACTCCTCTGGTGAAGTTATTATGATTGTCTACATTAGAGATGGCACTTAACAACAACAACATTAGAGATCAACTGAGGCTTAGAGGTTAAGTTACTTTAGATCATACAAGTAGAAAGTGGTAGTACTGGATTCAAACATACATACATCTTACACATTAAAAATTAAGAGGGATAGTAAAAAGAACAGTAATTTGTTTTGACATACATAGTTCAGCTTCAAACAACATGGGTTTAACTGTGGGGGCCCACTTATTATGTGGAATTTTTTCCTGTTGCTTGTACAGTTAGTGCAAGTGATAGGAGTATTTGCTTAGAACACCACGTGACTAATATCACATAGCATTTTAAACAGATACTAGCAATATTTTAGTTTAGTACAACAACATATAAGTGTGTCCACGCAATTCAAACCTGAATTGTTCAAGGATAAACTGTAAATTATATGCAAACTTTTAACAGCAAGAGAGGTTGGCTTTCCAAGTTGTTCAAGGGTCAACTACAGATTAATGTCATGAGAACATCCAGGAAGCATTAAGAATATTGTTGTTGATGTTATTCCTAGTTATCATTGTCCAGTCAATTCACACTAATGTGTTACAGAGTTGAACTGTTCCATGTGGCCCTGTGGGTTAGGAATTGGCCTGTTAACTGCAAGCTTTAATGGTTCAAATCACCAGTCGCTCCTTGGTAGAAACATGAAGCTATTTGCTCCCATAAAGATTTACAGTCTCAGAAACTCTACACAGGGTCACTATGAGTCAGAATTGCTGTTCTTAAGTGCTGTGGAGTCGGTTCTGACTTAACGACCCTGTAAAGGGTTTCTAAGGAACAGCTGGTAGGTTAGAACCACTGGTCTACAGTTAGCAGTCTAGTCAAATAGTTTGTGCCACTGAGGCACATGAAAACACATTTAACAATTGTTGCTGTTGTCTAGTGCTATTGAGTTGGTTCTGACTCATTGCTGTTGCTGCTGTTGTTAAGTGCTATAGAGTCGATTCAGACTCATAGCATCCATGTCTAGGCTTTTGGAGGAGCAGCTGATGGGTTTGAACTGCAGACTTTGTGGTTTGAGTCCAGTGCCGATTCACAGCGCCACACCAGAAGTCCACAGTGACACTAAAAAGGGATTCCGAGAAACAGCTAGTGGGTTTGAACTGCCATCCTTGCGGTTCGCTGTCCAGTACTGATCCTACAGCCCCATACCAGAAATCCGTATTAAAAACAGTCTAGGAAAAAAATGTACTTCAAAACAATGTTCTAAAAAACAAGAAAATGTGTGTGTTCTCATTTGAAGGAAGTTTTTCTATTAAAGTCTGTGTTCTACAACCAAGCAAGGATAAAGACAAAGGAATCGGAACAGAGATCCTGACTGACTGAACTGACTGACTGCACATAACAAGTTTTACTTCAGAAGTGTAGTAATGTGAGTTCTGTTTAAATCAGGTAAACTACAGTTATGGTATAGCATTCACCATCATAAAGACAATTTTGAGATCTAACCATGCAGTGTGATATAGAATGATGTCCACATGCATAGAAGAAAGACCAGTTAATACCATTATTATCCAAATTTGCGCACCAACCACTCAAACTAGAATGATGAAATTGAATAATTCGACCAACTTCTTTAGTCTGAAATTATCAAACATGAAATCAAGATGTATTGATAATTACTGGTGATTGGAATGAAAAGGTTGGAAACAAAGAAGAAGGATCAGTATTTTGGAAAACATGGCCTTGGTGACAGAAATGATGCTGGAGATTGCATGACAGAATTTGTTAGACCAATGATATCTTCATTGCAAATACCTTTTTAAACAACTAGACTTCAACAGATGGACTATAAAGGAATCAAACTGACTACATCTGTGGGAAGAGAAAGTAGAAAAGTTCAGTATTATCAGTCAAAACAAGGCCAGGGGCAGACTTTAGAACAGACCATCAATTGCTCATATGCAAGTTTAAGCCAAAGCTGAAGAAAATTAAAACAAGTCCATAAGAACCAAAACATGACTTTGAGTATAATCCACCTGAAGTTAGAGAACAGCTTAATAACAGATTTGATGCACTAGACACTAATGACAGAAGATCATAAGAGCTGTGGGATGACACCAAGAATAACAGGAAGAAAGCAAAAGGTCATTAAAAAGACAGAAAAGAAAGACCCAAAATGGATGTCAGAAGATACTCTGAAACTTGCTCGCCAACACAGTGATGCTAAAGTGACTAGAAAAAAATGAGGAAGTAAAAGAACTGAACAGAAAATTTCAAAGGGCAGCTAGAGAAGACAAAGTCAAGTATTATATTCAAACGTGCAAAGACCTGGAGTTACGAAACCAAAAGGGAAGAATATGTTCAGCTTTTCTCAAGTTGAAAGAACTTAAGAAAAAGTTCAAAACTCGACTTGCAATATTGAAGGATTCCAAGGCAAAATATAGAATGATGCAGAAAGAATCAAAAGAAGATGGAAGGAATACAGAGTTACCGTACTAAAAAGAAATGTTCAACCATTTCAAGAGGTAGCATATGATTATGAACAGATGATACTGAAGGAAGCAGTCCACTCTGCATGGAAGTTATTGGCAAAAAACTAGGTTCCAGGAATTGACAGAATGCAAACAGAAATCTTTCAACAAACTGTAACACTGGAGGCACTCATACATCTATGCCAAGAAATTTGGATTGGTAGCTGGAAACCAGTGGGAAGATAACCAACATTTGTGCTTATTCCAAAGCAGGTGACACAACAGAATGCAGAAGTCATTGAATATCATTAATATCACATGAAAACAGAATTTTGCTTAAGCTAATTCAAAACTGGTTATAACAATACATCAACAGGATGAAACTCAAACCAGAATCAGAAGAGGCTGTGAAAAGAGGGATACCATTGCTGATGTTAGATGCATATTGGCTGAAAGCAGAAAATACCAGAAAAATGTTTACTTGTGCTTTATTAACTATGCAAAGTGTGTGGATCATTACAAGCTATGGACAATATTAAGAAGACTGGCTATTCCAGAAAACTTAGACGAATCTGCTGAACAAGACGTCTTTAAAGCAAAGACGTCAGTTTGAGGACTAAGGTATGCCACAGTACTTCTAATCACCTCAAATGTATGTGAAGGAGTTCTGGTGTGGCACTGTAGGATAAGCACTGAACCGCAAGGCTGATTTGAAGAGCAAGGTCAGTGGTTCAAACTAACGAATACTCCCCAGAAACTCAATGAGTAAGAACTGACACTGACTCGACAGCACTTAACAACAGCAACATACATGTGAAAATTGGATAATGAATAAGAAAGATCATCAAAGAATTGATGCATTTGAATTATGGTGTTGGAAAATAGTATCAAATACACCCTGGACTGTCAGAACAACAAACCAATCTGTGTTGGAAGAAGTACAACCAAAATGTTCTTAGAAACAAGGATGGTGAGACTTGTCTTTCATACTTTGGACACATTAACAAGAGGGACCAGTCTCTGGAGAAGGACATCATGCTTGGTAAAGTAGAGGTTCAGTGAAAAAGAGGAAGATCTCCAAGTGGATGGATTGTTAAAATGGCAGCAGCAGTGGGCTCATGCATACCAACAACTGTGAGGACGGCACAGGACCAGGCAGTTTCGTTCTGGGTCACTATGAGTCGGAACTGACTTAATGGCAGGAAAAAACAATCTTAGATTAAAAAAAAAAAAAAGTTTTGTTTGAATGAAGGGGAACTATGTAATTTTTCTTTTTTATATCTTTCTATGTTAAGTAATGAGCAGGTATAACTTACAACTTAACACCACAATTATTCCCTATGCTCAAAAGACACACAGGAGGGAATAAAATATTAAATAGCAGGGAAAAATGTAGCCTAAAAGAGAAAAACAGGTAAGTTCAGTAGCTATTATTCACAAGTAATAAGTCAGTCACTCTGACAAAATGTCCATGGTATATTAAAAGATAAAATGGGATGAAAAATGTAGCCTAAGAGAAAAAGAGATAAGTTCAGTAGCTACTATTCATTCACTTTTACAGAATGTCCATGATAGATTAATATCAAGTTTTTATAGAAGCAGAGCACACTAGAAAGGAATTATAGCTAACTTTAATTCCTTACAATACAAAACAAGTATTTTACTTTTTAAAAATTAACAATGGAAATAGGATAGATAATACAGTACTGCCAGTGGTCAACATTTAATGTTAAAAGCGTTTATTGCTTCATACCTTTATTTGTAGCAGACCCATCTTTAATCTTTTGTTTCAGTGACTGCAACACACTTTGTACTTGCTCAAATATAAAGTCCACTTTTCCATCATCTTCTAGCTCCATCCAGAAAGTTTTTGCATCACCTCAAAAAAACAAAAATGAATAGATAGCTTAAGAGTGTAACAAAAGTGGACTGTTAATTTCCTTAAGGTGCATGTTATGGAACAATCGAGATTCAGATGGTTTATCACATTCCCTGAAGACAAGATTTTGGTCATTATTTCCTTAATAAGAACTAGAAGCAAAAAACATGATCTAATTATCTTATTGCTACTAACTTAAAAAATATCCTGAAAACATAAGTGGCACTATTTCTAACTGGAAAAAGGCAAAGAAACTCCATTCGTGGTGGCAGCAGGGCATCCAAATAGATCCATGTGCATTTTCAGCGTTTTGGTAATACAATCTCCACTGAGAATGGGAGAGGATGGTTTCAGAATGAGTTACCTCAAGAGTGGCAGAAATAATTATAAATGTCCAACAGTATCACTTTTTTTTTAACTGAAGCATATAGGATGCTTTATTTTGAGTTATGTGATAGTTTACATGGGAGAATATTAGCTTCACATTGATCCCATCGTATATCATTTCCTTGCCATGGGTTACAATGCCCTCCATCCATCATCCACCAACCACAGGGGATACCCCGCAAGCCTGCCCCAGGTAGTCAGCACACAGTCCCTCTCCTTCTCTGGGTCCAAAGTCCCCAGCCGCTCCATCTCTCTGTGTCATTGTCTCTGCCTCCATCTCTAGCATTACTGCTTCTCTGGGTAGGGTTCTGTTCTCCATTCTTCTCCCTTGATGGTCCCAGAGACCTCCGTCCTTAGCCTGCAAAATTAATTCCTCCCCTCCCTTTGCTACAAAACATGTACCTTTACATTTCCAGCCCTTACAATCAGTCCTGATAACAATTATTCACCATTGTACCGCAAGAGACCTATCTGCATCTCTGTTCCTCGGTCTCACCTAGACAGATTGGATTCTACCCAGTGGAGATTCTACCTTCCTCCACGCTCTCTGGATCTGGATACCCTCTTGAAAGCTTGTAAGCCAGTTACTTCTTGCCTCTGTAACGCCCCCATTCTGGGTAGCCAATGTCCCAGTTGCCCATCCCTGTCCTTTCCTTGTGTGGAGTGGGTGGAGTGATCCTCGTTGAGAAGATTAGTTTCCTCTTTTGAGCTACTGCTTCCATAGGTGTAGGTCAAGTTCATCAAATTGTTTCAGATAATTCTTTTTTTCCTCTTCTTCTGGTTGAGCTCTGATCATCCAGCCATTTAAGTCAGGTTAGGTGGGTATTATCTGCAAGTATGAGTGTACTTATGCATGTACCCTCTCTTCTTATCAGCTGGACGCTTCACTCTCCACTCTAGTCCTTTGTGGCTATGTCACTGACTCTGGGCCCAAGAGTCCCCAGGTCTTGCCACACTGCTGGCCAGCCAGGTCTCTAGCCGGGTTCACAGGATTCTACTGAACGTTGTAGGGCTTAGCTGGTGGCTCATTGTTGCTTTTCCCTCACTTCCCCTTATCAGTAATGAATGTGGTCATCAATCAGAGCGTGTATTCCCATTGGGTCTTAGTCTTCAAAGGAGGTTTGCTCTGAGGGGACCTGGCCACTTGCCTTGATGTCACCTGGGCAAGCCACTTGTTTGTTCTTGTAGTATTTTTCCTGTCAGTCTTTCTTTCAAGAAGTATCTTCTGTTCCTCTGGCCGCTCCTGGGCTGCAAAATCAATCTTCTCCTTTTGCCAAAAAAAACACAAAAAACAAAAACTGCCTCTACATTTTTGACCCTCACAGTCAGTTCTGATGGCAGGTATTCACTGTTGTACCACAAGAGTCTTATACCCATTTCCTTTCGTCAGCCCAGTCCCAACAGACTGGAAATCATTCAGTGAAGCTTCTGCCTACCCCTGCCCCGTCTGGAACTAGGCTCCCTCTTGAAAGCTTGTAAGCCTTTATAGGTCATCCGCCCCACCCCCATTTTGTGTCTGGGCAATTTCCAGCTCCCCTCAAGGTCAGTTAGTTACAGGTGGAAGACGGGCTTACATGTTCTCCGTTGTGATGTTTCTGTTTCTGGCTATCCTTCCCTACCCCCCCACCCCCACCCTGCAAGTGTCTATTTCACAATGGTAGGCAAGGGAAACCAAGATTAAAAAGAAAGCCAAGCATCCTAACATTATTCACCTTTTATCCCCTTTCAGGCCATGCCACTATCCCTGTATCCTGAAGCCCTGTTATTCCAAGGTTGTGCATACACTGTCATTTACCTCTGTCCCATCTAACCCATGCGAACCTGCCAAACGGGTCTCCTGTCCACCTTGTTCTTCTTTTTCCCTTCCCCTTCTTGTGCATTGCCAAATCTCCCCTCCCCCGAAGCACCCAAGCTCTTCTATGTCTATTCCCTACCCTATCCTCTTTCTCCCCCTCCCTCCCTTCTCTCCTCTCATTCCATACATCCCGGTGTTCAGTAATTATATATATAGATCCCCTCCCCCCCTTGTGTGGGTTGTTTCTCAGTCCTTTACAATAATGGTCTTATACAGTATTTCTCCTTTTGTGACTAATTTCACTCACCATAATGTCCTCAAGTTTCATCCATGTTACGCAATGGCTTACAGTTTCCTTGTTCTTCAAGGTAGCATAACATATCATTACGTGCATGTACCACAGTTTGTTTATCCATTCTTCAATTGATGGGCATTTTGGTTGTCTCCACATTTTTACTATTGTAAATAGTGCTGCTACGAACATTGGTGTGCATTTATCTAATGATGTTATGGTTCGTATTTCTTTTGGGCAAATACCAAGTAGAGGAATTGCTGGGTCATAAAGTATTTCTATTTCCAAACTTCTGAGGAAGCACCATATTGCTTTCCAAAGTGGTTGGACCATTTTGCAGTCCTACCAAAAATGTAGGAGGGTCCCAGTCTTTCCGCATCCGCGCCAGCATTTGTTGTCCTCTGCTTTTTTTAAACTTTGCTGTTATTGCTGGTGTGAGATGATATCTCATTGGTATTATGATTAGCATTTCTCTGATGGCTAGTGATTGTGAACATTTATGTGTTTGTTGGCTGCCCAGATCTCCTCCTTGGTGAAGTGTCTGTTCATATCCTGTGCCCAGTTTTTTATTGGGCTGTCCTTTTCTTGTAGAGGTGTAGTAGTTTCTTATATATTTTAGAAATGAGTTCCTTATCTGATGTGTTGTTGCAAAAGATTTTTTCCCAGTCTGTGGGTTCCCTTTTTACTCTTTTGGTGAAGTCTTTTGATGCACGTTAAGTTTAATTTTTAGTATGTCTCGCTCATCTATTTTGTCTACTTTTGTGTACTTTCAAAAATGTTTGGTAGTCTGTATATGCCCTGAATTTGTGCCCTCACATTTGTCCCTATTTTTTCATTGATGACCTTCATAATTCCGAGATTCACATTTAGATCTTTAATCCATGCTAAATTCATTTTTGTATAGAGCGTGAGGTAAAGGTCTTGTTTCATTCTTTTGCATATTGCTTTCCAGTTCTTCCAGCACCATTTGTTAAAGAGACTATCTCCTCCCCATGTAATATGCCGAGGCACTTTGTAGAAAATCATTTGGCTGTATGTAGATGGGTTAATTTCTGGATTCTCGATTCTGTTCCATTGATCAGCGTATCTTTCATTGTACCAGTACCA